GCAGGCGTCATGCTACAGCAGGACAAAATCCAAGCCAACATCGACTACTCCGAGTCACGTGCTTACAAACAGTTCAGGCGTTTTGGTGGGTCGGTTAACGTTTATCGATGGTTCGTAAAAACTGCTCGTCACTGGTGACAACTCCTCACGGACCTTCTCCGAGGGCAACTCAAGAAATGTCAGTTCCTGCGGCAACACGCGCTGCTTTAAGTCCATGAAAAACGCTTTCTCCAAAATAGATTCTATAGCGTTTCATGAATCTGTCAGTCCCGCTGTCCTTCAGTACCAACTCCTCGGACGTACACTTTAGCGCTGTTTTATTGCAACAAGTAGGTAACACGTGGCAGCTCTTAAGGTTTTCCTCCAAACGCCTACAACATGTCGAATATTGCTTCAACACCTTCGGTATGGAATTACAAGCCTTAGATTTAGGAGTACGTCACTTTTGACATCCTTACTGACCATAAGCCACTAAAATACCTGCTCGGCTGGACAACCGATCTATGCTCCCCAGGGAATCCTGTCACATAGATTATATTGCTCAAAGTAAGACCAAAATGCGACATGTCTTAAGTGTCTGCAACTTCGTCGCCGACACACTTTCTCATTTTCAAGCAATATCCGTGGATGCCGGCACGGCTATGGACATAGCAGCCATGGCAGCCGCGCGCAAACGATCCCAATCTTGATCTATTGCGTAGGCCATCTTCACCTGATAAACAAGCTGTCTCGCTAACTTCAACAGACGGAATTCTTCTCTGTGACACATCTCCACGCACGCTACGCCTCGTCGTACCACGCGAGTTCCAACAGATCTTGTCTGTTCCGTTGCATGAATTATCTCACCTAGGCCCTCATGCACCGATTTGTTTAGCGCAATAATAACCGTAATATCTAAACCTGGGTTGCTATTTGTCTTCCGTGTCAACGCACAAAAGTGCAAAAGCACACGAACAACCCATTAGTAACGTTTCTAAAGCCGGACTCATGTTTTCTCCACGTGCACACCGACCTCGTAGGTCCTTTGCCGCCTTCGAGTGCTCGGTACATCAGTTAACTTATATCGACCAATATACAAGATATACTTAGACCATACCTATCCCTAAGTGCTCTTCAGCAACAGCCGCAAGGTTTTGAGAACGCTGGGTAGCAAAATATGGCTGCTGTTTTTTAGTGACTCCCGATCGTGAGCCATAATCTTTGTCCACCTTCTCCTCGTTGCTAAAGGAATTAAATTGCCGCCACCTCCAGACGACGGTGTAGTATCCGGCGTTTTCACCGCCAATTGAAGGCAGCGCTGTCTGCACCCAGATTCTCCGTGGTCCGAAACACTTCCTCTCGTCCTCCAAGGCTTAAGAAACACTACTATGACCGACTTCAATGCAAAGTCAGTGCAGCTAGTCTACGGTTACACGCCGCGTTTGACTGGACAACTGGAGGTACCAGCTCCCTCTAATTCCTCGTTTGACCACGGAGGTTACACCGACAGATTGGCTTACCTAATGTGTGAGCTACTTCCGCCCGCTCCTAGATGGCTGGAGACACAAGTGTACGTGTTCAAATGTACTTCTCCGTGCCCTACATAGGCCCCCTTCTATGTGCTACACCGCACGAATAAGGCCTGCACCATTGACCGCCGACACGAAGTCGCCACTATCCATCACCTCAACCCAGCTTTTCTCGACGTAGCCACACAGTCTAAGGCTACGTTGAATGTTTTATGTGACGTTACAAATAATCGCGCTCAATTACAAGCATGTAGCATTCCCGCAGCGACTGCCCATTTGAGCATACACTCTAGAGTCGTTCTTACATCCTCGCTTATTGTTAGTCTGCCTCCTCATAATCCCAAACGCTGTGGTCAGGATGTCCCTATGCCTGTCCGCTTCTCCGATTATGTACAGCCTAAGTACTTTTAGGTCTGTAAATATTGCATATATTTACCCCGTTTTTGTTCTATTAAGGAGCTGAATACACAAAAAACCAAAAATTTAAAAGCCATTAAAACATCCAACAACCAAGAAATCTAAATATGTTTGCATACAAGCCATTCATTCCTTTGCTTTATCGTGTTCTGCGTATTATTTCTGATTTTCGTCTCTACATGCTATAGGCTCTGCTTCGATTAAATTGTCCACACAAACAACTTTTCCCTGGATTGCCGCCGTCAGCGAAAATTCAGACGCGAACGCTGGAGCTTTTTTGTGACGGGGATCACTTTTGTGCGGAGCGGGGTGAGACAGTGAAAAGGATATAGTATGCTGTTCCCTATTTTATTTGTTTTCTGCGCTCGATTACAAGCATGTTCTCGGACTAGTATTTAATAGTCTTATAAAAGCAACAACGGTACATGGCCAGACACGACGTGGCATTGCTGGTGACTCCCATCGAAGGAATAACACGCAGGGAAGCAGCTCCTCAGGAGACTGTTCCATGCGTAGCTATATTACTTCACGTACACATTTGGGTATAAATACGATTATTATTTGGACAACCACACAATGTTTCCGAAAGGTTTTACTGATAAATTAGAAATGTCAACCCAAAAATATTTTGGAAACTGCTTTGGAAATTGCGAACGATACAACGTCTGTCCTTTGAGATTTTGCCGTGCATCTAGATTGAGTCTACCGCCTACCGACACGGGATATACGGTTGCTTTCACTCAATGTAACCTCATACTAATCATGAAAGGGTTTGGAACTACCTGTTGCTAATATGGACACCACTTCTAACTTAAAACCAAATATGGTTATTATTACTTCCATTATGATGATAAAGTTGGCTACCTTCTGATTTTGGTAGTGAAGATAACCTCGATGGTTACCACCACGTTAGATTCAAACACACATATGACTACAAACATCGTGGGGTAGTATCGTCTTTTACCAACCGATGTGCACCTATCTTGCTCCAATTGTTATTGACCTTTCTCCTCTATGTTTGCTTAGAACGCAGGCACTGTATGGTCATTGGCATAGGTTTTACTGGTACCATTCAATGAGCCACCGTATGGGGAATATCCCAAAGAATCACGATCTCAGCATCACCAATCACTTCCAACGGTGGTCGTATGTACATTCACTCACCCAGGTCTATCGTTTTGGTCCTTAACAGCAGTTGTGTGACATCATTCCACGCAGTAACCTCGTAGCTATCCAAAAATCCCAACCACTTCCAAAACAGTTTTTCTGAAGACAGCTGTGGCGGAATTTGTGCTCTAATATTATCTCTGTGTACACCGCTAGTACAAGCTTTGGAAACACACTCATACCTATTCGGAGAGAAATCTCACCGACCTTCTAATCAACAAAGTGCGTTAGTTTACCTTTACCTCCAAGTGCAGTCGACCGATCGCCCACCATTGTCGTGAGCGTTGAAAAATTGGGCGGTTCATTGAACTTATAACCTGCGTGGATCCACAGGGGTGTACATCATCAGGGAACACGGGCCACCCGAATGGTAATCATGTTGTATGCACCAGAGGCATCAAAGCGGGTCTAAAGTGAATTGACTGCTTATAATCATTTCACTCTACGCGTATAGTGTTAAGGTCAATCAATATTAGTCACTACATCAGCAATACAAATACCTCTTGGTTTTGCCAAATGTACTAATCCAACCGGGTTGTTAGAGGTTTAATCATCTTATTGAAAAAGTGCGACAGCCGACGGAAGCAGTTGAGCAACCTGCAAACGCCAGGGATCTAAATGTGAAGGCAAACCAAACTACGATTGAATCTCAGCGGACACCACTCAGTTCCCCATGGAGGTTAAAGAAGATAGCCAGGCGTCATAATCTTACAACAATTTATCAGCCACCAAATGTCCCAACCCACTGCACTCCCTTAAGTGGACTGGATTTCCCGAGGCCGTTAACAGTTTGCCGGCTTCTATTCCCTCCAATAGTGGTGCAATCCATAAATCACTTGTCACACGGCACCCACATAACCGTAAAGGATTACTGGATATTGTGCGCGTCGGTCCATGCCAACAAAACATCAGAAAATGTAATCAGGACTACACGTGCCGGACTTGGTAGAACTGACGTGACACATCGTGATTTGCTACACCATGCAC